TTTTCACAACATGGTGCAGATTTCAGTAGAGATAGAACGGATTTCTGATATGCTTAAGTCAAACCTGGCAAGGGTTTAAGCAGAAAGAAAAAATGAATTCAGGTATGAAGTGTAATGCATACATCATGTGACAGGAAAGTATCATGAGTAACCCTTCAGACTAACAGCTACGTACCAGCCTGGATCAAAATAATTCTCCTCACATGTGAAAAACTTTAAGCAGTGATCCATTGAAAGTATCCAGTGAAGATCCCATGATTCCTGCAAAATACATGCCAAAAGTTTGGCAGTGAAGAGCTCGTGGTTCATCCTTAGTGATAGATCCTTTTTGCCAAGAGGCTGAAGTTACGTTGTTCATGAGGGTGTTGAACACATAAGTGTCTTGTATTTCTTCCTCAAAACCTTCTTGGCCAGGGTGACTGCCTGTTCTTACTGATTATAGTTTCTGATATAGAGGCAGCTGTGTTATCAGTAGTGATCTGTTCTGTAATGTGCACAATTCTCTGGAGTGCTTTCAGGTAAAATATGGTTTTATGAAAGATATCCTTGACTTGCTTTCTTAATACAGTGTAAAGTGCTTGCTCAGTATGACTTGTCCTTTTATTTATTTTTCTCTGATTCTTTTTCAGGGAATATTAAATATTTAAATGGTAACATTTTTGAAAGTGGCTGCTAAACCAGATTGATTTTCCTTACTCGGTCCCCTTCACGGTGAAACATGAGTTCTTTTTTTTTAATTCACCCAGATGGTATGCTGCTTAAAGTGAGCAATGTGTTGCAGTGAAAATGGACTACTTTCCTCTTCTTTCCTTCCTCCTTTACTTAACTGAACACATCCGTGTAGCTCATATTTGGGTTGAATTCAAAATTAGTCAAAGAGGCTGCAGGGTAAATATGTCAGCTATTGGAAAGCCAGCTCTGCCAGATTGAAGGAATTTCTGCCCCTGCCAACAGGCAGTGCAGCAAGTTGGCTACACAAAACCTGACATCTTTATGGACCTTGTTATAAAACTGAACAAGATGATCTGGTTTGGTCCTTTTCATGTCTGTCTTGTGTGTGTCTGTAACAGCGCTCCTCCTTGTGTGTGCACAAATCCCAGAGTCGTGCAATGGGCTGTGTGCTGAGTGGGCAGGGTTGGGAGATGATGATTGCACAGAGGATTTCTTTGAGGATCATTTTAAATCCATTAGAAGAGACCTGCAAAGTGAGGGAAGCAAAAGGAGCAGTACAATTTAAAACAGTTCCACATGTGCTGTTGTTTTGACAGTTCTTTATCCACCAGTGGATTTTTTGGGCATGGAGTAATACATGAAACAAGTTTCTAGATGTGTTGACTGTGACTCTCAAGTTGCTGTCTGTAACGTGCAACTCTCCTAGCAGCTGATGAAGGTCATGTTTTAAGAGAAATATCTGTTACTTTAAAACTGGATTGAGTCAGAGTTCCTGTGTTCCCATTCTGCAGCAAAGCTTGTGTAGGGCTGTCTGCAAGTAACTTGATCTGCCTCTATCTTTTGTTTCCTGTTTGGTGAAAGAGTTAGTAATACATCCTTGCTTTAAAAGAACATTGAGGATAAATTTATTTGTATGACAAAGGAAATCCTATAAACAAACAACTTACTGGGTAACAGATAAAATTTTTACGTGCTCCTGGATTGTTGCTTCAAGTTAATAGGATAGAAGTATGGCATTTATTTAAAGGAGTTGTTAAAAGTAACAGAGACTTGATAGCGCTTTTTAGGGGGGATAGTTTCTTGTTTGTGGTTTTTTTACTTTTTCAAACTCTAGAAATTTCCAAAATTACATAGGTTGGTCTAAATTTTTTCATAAAAGGAGTGTGGACATCATGGCTAAAGCTTCTAAGGCAAGATAACATCAGTAGATCTGACAAGGAAGTGTTAAAGTGCTTGAGATGCATCCAGTTGTTTTCTCTCAGGAAGGTCATGATACTTGGTGGGAGAAGACAGTTCTGTGCTTGGAGCAGGTAGCTGTGGGACCTGGTGTCGGTTCTTATCTAGCAACTTGCCCAAGTCATGAAGAAGTCACACTTAAGTGTTCACAGCAGGATTTCTCATTTTGGGTAACTGCTGCTTCTGTGTGGAAGTGGAGCGGGTTGGTTGAGAGGTATAAGTATCAGGTCAGACAAGAAGGTAGTGCAAAGCAACAGAGAGAGATACCATGAGATTGGCATCTTTTTGATGTTGCTGCCAAAATGTACTGCCTGGTTGCTTAGATTCTGAGAGGGCAAAAGCCTTGGTAATTTCCAGTTCTCTTGTCAAGCTTGGAAAAGCTGTTTTATATCAGAGATTTATTCTTAGGACATTTCAGTTTTGTAGTATCTCAGAACTTGTAAATTCTAATAAAAGTTATGACTGTTATCAGGAAAGTCTTGCAGTGGTACCATACTGACCTGAAAGCTATTTATCGCAGGGACGATAGAGAAGGGAGTTATATTCTGCTCTTGAAGCTCTTACAGGCTTTATAACTAATTTGATATATGGTATATTGACTGAACCTTTACATTGCAAAGAATACCCAGGTATCTCACCTCTGTCATATCTTGCCATATTTCACCCTGTAGCTGTTTGAGTGTGGTGATTTTTGTTTGGTCATTACTTACCAGGTACACATCAATGATACAAAGACTGATCTGAATGTGTTCCATTACTGGTGTAAGGGGGAAAACACCATAAACAACAAAAAAGCCCTTGCTGATTGAACACAGAACTGCAGAACTTAGTTAACAGTGGTGGCTGTAAGGCAGCAGTAGCCTGGCAGTGGTTATTGATAGTGCAGTATCTGTTCAGTGTTTCATGGTAGGAGTATCCAAGGACAAACTGTTGCCATTGCTGATTTAAATTTAGGGTCTAGGGCATGAGGCAGAGTTGGGTATAGCATTTCTCCGGGAGCTGCTGGGAGCAGTGAAGGCCCTGCCTGACTGGGCTGGAGCTGAGCTTGTTCCAGAGTGCTGTAGGTTATAACAGTGTGGAGAGCAAAGCTGTTGCTTCTCCAGTGATGCAGGGAATGAAACTGAGGTTTGAGTGAGGCTGCTAAAAGACATCTTATTTCCAGCTGCATACCTGGGCATGCTTTTTGGTAGCTTTCACTCTTTCTTTAAGCAGGAGACTTATGAGTGGCTCCGGATGTGTGGCCACTGGCTCGGATTGCCCACCTGCCTCAAAAGACCTTATTTCCAACTTTTTGTTCTTTTCCAGGCTACCTTGTCTTTTAACAGCTTAGGGCAGATTTCCACTAAGGCATCTGCACTGTTCTGGCAGATTCTTGAAACATCCCCAGGAGAATCAGCCATTTGCAAGAAATAACATTTGGGAGGAAATACATTGTTTGGGGCAGACATAGGCTTAAAGAAACTACCTCCCTGAAGCATTCCTATCGTGTCTTTTGAAATAGTGATGTGAAACTTAGCAGTTTTGCCTGTGTCAGGGATGGAGCATTTTGAAACGCTCTGGGGAAGGAAGGGAATCATTTGGCTGATTCAAGAGTTTCTAGAAAGCCTCATGCTCTAATCATGCTATAAAGCTTGTTATTTTGGCAGATGAGTTCTCCAAAGATGCCTGTACAAAGCAAATTCCTCCTTGGGAGTGCAGGAATGAGCTAGGAAGGGGTCTTCCCTAAACTGCTGATCCTGGCAGTTGTGATCTGCTCTGTGCCCTGTGCAGGACTGAAGAGTGGGGCACTCACGATGCTGTGTTAGTAATGTTTTCCTTGCCCTTGGTGTTCAGGCCTTCCTGGGGAGAGGAAGGAGTTGGACTCCAAGAGCAATAGGAAGCAAGCTGGTGTAGGGTGGGCAGTGGAGGGAACTGCAGCTCTGCCACTCCCCCTGAGTTCCAAAAGTAATGTGATTATCCTCAAAATAGGTAAATGAGAAGTAAATGGTTAAGCTTTGTGTCATCTTAATGTGTTCTTTCTGGTTTTGAACTATGAAGATAGGTAGGCTGGCTGGGGGGGATGGGGGACATATTTTTGTGACAACTCCACCTTACCTGGGAAAGGTTTGTATTTCTGATTTTTCGCTTGATCAAGTGCATGTTGCCTGGGACAAGTCTGGAATATGACTGGAAGATAAGGGAAAAGATATTCTTTCTCCCATTCTCTGCCTTGTCTTGTAGCTTTCCCTCCTCTTAGCAACAGGTGATGCCATTTTGGTGCTTATTAAAACCACTGTCATTGTCTTCCTTCATTGAAGTTTGTGTTTCTGTGATATCTGCATTCCAGAAAAAATGCACTAAGTGAGAAAAACAGTAGATTAAAATGACTGATTAGAGCTGTGTTTAACCTTGAAGGCAGATCTCTAGATTTCTCTCTTTCACTGTTCTCTTTTCTCCAGTATCCTGCTACTGACCCCCCACTAGTTGGCCAAATGCCTTACTTGCCTGTGGACAGATGTATGTCAGGGGACTGTATTAACACTGAGAAGCTCAATTCTAACTTTGATCAGCAACGCTATGTTTAAAACTTAATTGAAAACCTGTCATGAATTACGCAGTGTGTTACCTAGTGCATAGCCCTTGGGTAGCAACAGCAACAACAAAGTATTCTGCCATTTAAGTACTAATCTGACAAAAGCAAGGGACTATAGAGCTGAGTTCGTGTGGCCTCATCTGTTTTATTTTTCTTTAGACTGACCATGTGTAGAAGAGATTTTTTTTTTTAAACAAATTTTGCTTTGACCTGAGTATACATAGGAGGCTGCATGTGCGTTCCTAGAAAGAAAATAGCAGGAGGGAAATCTGCAAAATGGAGTGTGAGAATGAAGAAAAGTAAAATGATAATTTGGGAAAAAGAAAGTGCTACCAAAGTACCATGCTCAGGATGCTGATAGGATAATGACAAAATTACCAGGATCAAGATCCATGTTTCATCTCCATTCAACTGCTGAAACAGCTTGCTCAGTGACTGCTTTTGTTGCCTTTGTTAAAATCCTCTGTAAACTTACCTCTCTTTCATTTGTCGCAGACAGCCAACTGTTGCCTGGGAATAACTTCACAAATGAATGCAACATTCCTGGAAACTTCATGTGCAGTAATGGACGCTGTATCCCAGGGTCCTGGCAGTGTGATGGGCTGCCAGACTGCTTTGATGACAGCGATGAGAAGGAATGCCGTAAGTGACCATTGCTGTGACCTTAACGTGCTTTATATCACAAGGCTTGGCTAAGTAGTGTTACTGGTGTGTTCTGTAGTGTGTGTTAGGGAAGTAACAACTGATGCCAGTTTAATTTAGATCTTGTTAGAAAAAAATGCACAGACTTCATTATTTCAGGTCTTTAAGGTTCTTTGGTATCCAGTGTAGTTTCTTTATGTGTATGCTTTACGGAGGTTTTCATTACACTTCAAATGAATTTATAGGAAGCTTACCTTTCCCAGGACGCTTCCAAGATATCATTAGCTTTCCTTATGGAGGGAAAGGAAAAAAGAATAGTTTCTTTCAAATTACCTGAATAGAAATACCATGTGTTTTTAAATGCTCTTGCTTTTTTAACTTGATTGCCTCTACTTTAACCCCAGTTATCCATCCCTTTTAAGTAAGGGGGCTTTAATAACTGTGCTGTGAAAATCTCCATATATAGTTCTGCTTTAAGCCAGTGAGCTTTGCTCACTTTCTAAAGCGTTAAAAGTATCTCTATGAAATATCTAATGTTTTGCAGTCCTTATAAGGCATCAGGCTCGTGTAACAACATTGAAGACAGGTTAATTTAACTGGTTTTTTTTTTTATTTAAATGTTAACATCTTAGGAAAGAATGAGTCTGTTATTAGGATTGATCTTTGTCATGCATATCTGTTTTAACCCTAGCAGGATTTATATCGGTGGGAGCTTTGGCAAGAATAAAAATATCCAAAGCTCAACCTGTACCTTTCAGTGAGATGTTCCTGATGACAACAACTGTGTGACTCGGGTTCCTTATTACTTGGCTCCTGAATAGACTGCTGGCATGACTTTGGGTGTGCTGTTTCTACTTCTTAAAACAAGCTGAATGATGGCACATCTTGGTGTTTAAAGGATGCAAACCAGGAGTTTCTCTGTCTCTAAGAGTGTTGTCATCATCTGCCTTGCATAAATTTTTTTTTCACCTGATACAATTAGATGACTTTTGTGAAGATTTTCATTAGTCTTAATGAAGGTTTTCTTAATGAAGGCTGTACTGGGTATTTATCCAAGAATCAGTAACAGGAAAATATGCTTTGTGACTCTGTTCAAAAATTTCCTTACCAAAATCAGTTGAATTACAGTCAGTAATAAACAGGGTAACTGACAATAAAATATAAATAGCTGTAAAATGACAGTTCATAAGAGCTGTTCTTGTCATGACAGACTGAAATAAACCTCACTGATCTAGGCTATGCTGCAACCATGAATTTTAAGTTTCTGCAGAATTGTCCTTTGTTGGGTTTTATATTTAAATACTTTTAGCCAGCTTTCTGGATGAGCATCCTTTTGTTCCTACACAAGTCGATGGAGATAATTAGACTCTTCTTTCCTCTTGCTATACATCTATCTGCTATCTGATGACCCTCACAAATGGAAAGTTAGCACAGAAAAGAGACTTGCAGGGAGAGCAGTGCTATCCTATGCTAGCCTGCTGTTGACAGGTCAGATAAGCCAGAACAGAATGCAGATAGTGCTCATTTGAGTCTCCAAATCTATAGTGTTACCAACCAGTCTTTTCCATCATAAAGTAATCAAAAGTTGGATGGGCTTATACAGCCCAAATCTGTTGTTAGATTTGTTCCTAGCTCAGAGATAAGGCATTGAAAAGCAGCTGTATAGGTATAAAACTTTTTTTTTTTAATCATTTTAGGCTAGGCTTTGTTACCTTTCTTCTGTCTAAAGGCTCTACTTTCTAAAACTTACCTTGCAGCAAAATTAGTCCTTTGTTTTTTGCTGTGATTTTTGCTTTGCAGTAGCTGAGCAAAGTGGAGACAAAGCCATAGGAGTTGCATTAGCAGCATGAGATGGCTGAGTTCCCAGTGTGTTCTACTCTCAGCTGTACTCTTAAGTTGCTTTGCCTGTGATTCCTCATTGAGTAACTATTTCACACTGAAAGGTGTTAGACTTGCTAAGAAGTGTTTGTGTGTGAACAGGAGCTTGGTTACAGGGTTCGTTTGGTACTGTAGATTGGTATTGTTGCAAAGACGAGTATGCTGTATTTTGGCATGCTCACTGAGGAAGTTTCATGCACACGTGTGTGGTTATGTGGAAAGTCTTTCTCTTTTGGTTTGTCTTATAGTTGAATGTGGATGTACAGCAATATTTTATCAATTCCATTGCTGTAGGATCTCATCCTGTCTGTCCCCCTTCAAACAGGAGAATTTTAAACTTGTGGTCTGGTTCTCATTTTTTGTGACCGTGAGTGGAAAAGTGATAGTCTGTGTGTGAGGAGGAAATAAGATGCAAAACAGAATTACCTGCAAGTTGTCCATTCATGTCTTGTCTCTTCCCTCTCTTCCTTTTGTCCCTTTTTTGTCTCCTGCTTTGCAGGAGCATTGTTTTTAACCATGTCCCTTTGCCTGTGGGCTTTCTCTCCATCTCCCCTTCATCTCCCACACTTGCCAGAATCCATACCGTCTGTCATCTTCCGTGCTTCCTCTATGCCCTGACCTGTGATCAGTTTAACACTTCCCACACTGGCTGGCTGTATGCTGTTATTGCACAGAACATTTCTCATACTCTTGCCTTCTGTCATGGGGATGTGAAGACTGAAGAATTTTATCTGGTTTTATCTAGGGAGGAGGGTTAAGGAAAGGCATAGGAGGAAGGGAATAAGCTGAAACAGTGACTCCACATTGTTGTAAAGAAGAACTACTGCTTGAAGCAGAATCTCTCTTTTGTTTTTCCTCTAAACCACTTATTGAGCTTGAAAAAGAATTAATTGACCATAGCAATATGAATGTTTTGTGAGTACTTCCATTTGTCTATAGTTTGAGTAATCTGCCATCATCAATGTATCTGCCAGTGCAGAACCCTTTTGTAGTTCATTGCCCCCCTTCTCTTCTGGTTCTCATCTGTTGGGTTGCTCATCAGCTTGTGTAGTCCAGTATCTGTCATGCACATTTTTTTCAAGTGTTACTACTATTACTACTTTTTAGCCGTGTAGATGATTTATAATGGAAGCAAGCTCTTCTTGACAAATGCAGAATCTTTACCAACAGGACTTTCATGGGGAGCTTATAGGTATTGATTGCATAAATCCTAAATCCTGCACTGGTTGCATACCACTAGGCATTATATATACCTGGGGTTAGTGCTTGCCCTGGTCAGGTTGGGAGCTGCATGCTGTGAGCCACTCAGTTCTTACTGTTATCCAATATGGAAGAGCCAAAATGTAACAAAATAGAGAACCTGAATGGAAAGAGCCTAGAAATGGGTGCTTGCATGTTTCAAAACATTTTGAGGGAAATGCATTATCTTTAGTGCTGACCTTTATACCTACCTGTTGACCTATTCCTTTGGGGCCAAGAACCGCATCTTGCTGTTGGAAGGATTCACTTCTTGAGATCTAAGAGTGCGCTAATGTTCTTAGTTAAGCTTATAATTTACTCTGTCATCTCTGTTTCCTTTTTCCTTTGCTCTTTGTGCGTCTTCATATTAGATTATTACAGAGAGAACATTGTGAACACAGAATGGCTGTTGTCAGTAATGAGCAGCAGCTAGTGGGGAGGTGGCATGTGCTGCCTTTGTCAGCTAACGAGCAGCAGATGGTGGGGATTCAGAGCATGGCACATCATCCGCGCTAAGTGCCTGGCATGACAGTGGCCAGAATTAGAGACGTACCAAATACCCAGGAGCCTGGATTTTCCTTCATTGCTCTTCTGAGAGCCATCTCTTATGTGCCAGATTTGTACGTTCAGCTATGAGCAGATAGTGGCACGCAGTGAATGCAGTGTGACTAGCTGTGTTAATTGAAGGGCTAAAGAGTGTAGGCTGTGGCTAGAAAAAAATGTTATGCAAGGATAGCCTTGGGGCAGTGTGTTCTCATGTTAGAAACTTCTCTTTCCCATGTGTTTCTGTTTCCAGTTGTCATGGTTGCTCATTCAACACAAACATAAAGGTAAACCAGGTTTTTGAATCAATGTTAAAAGCTGTGATTGGAGTGTATAGATGTCTGAGCAAGAGGGCATCATCCGTGCTTGTAGGAATGTGCTACCAACACATTTCTGCACTGGCTAGCAAGAGCCGGTCTGTAGGAACATCTGGAACTGTGGTAATAAAAAGCTCGTTTCATCACCAGCAATCCATCGTCATCAGATCTTTCTCTGATTGTTCTTTGGACAGAGTCTTTATGAGCAAGTCTCCTCCATGGGGGAGAATGTCTTCATTAAATGAAGTGCTGCATGAAAACGGTCCATTTTAATAAGGATTCCCCAGGCAGGTATTGAAGCTGCCTGCCAAGCAGGCTTCCACTAAAGGTCAGCTTTGTCTCTTTTCCTGAGACACATGTACTTGCAGGAAACCCAATGCAATTAGAACTGAAGATTTTATAATGTCTGCGTTATACACATGTATGATGCTGAGTTGCACTCAACATGGTGGGGTGAGCCAAGCTTTTCTGCAATCTCACACCAACACACTCTCATGGTCCTGAGCACTGTGACTCATATTTGGGCAGACTGAGAAACCAATTTAATCCAGGTGTCTAGCAGATCTGGTAAGACCATTTCTGTTTCTATATCAGGGAACTGGAGCCCCTGAGGCCCTATCCTGGTGACAAATACCCTAGCAACTCCTACGTCTGGTCGGCTGCATGCTGTAGTGCAAGGATGAAGGTGTGTGGTGGGAACGCTTTCTGATCGGTGTTGTTACGGTTGTAACCATGATGGTTTTGCAAACATTTTTAACTGTCTTTGCCGGGTTAGTAGAATAATATTTGAGATAGTGTTGCAATTACTTGTTCATTGCTGATATGTTGGCATATTAATCTTGGATTTCATCTTCTCTTATGTGTCTCTTAACTTTGTTCTTGGTTTTACCCTGCAGAGTTTGAGCTGTGTGTTTATATATAATAAACATGATCTGTTTTTTCAGATTCCGTTCCGTGTCTTATCTTTTCTACGTTGGGTATGTTTGCCTTTCCATTTAATCCATCTAAATGCACACAGCATTT